GAAATCTCTGCTTTTAACCTTAAATATCGCTTATTTTCATAGAAATCCCTGTTTTTAACCCTAAAATATCGCTTATTTTCATAGAAATCCCTGTTTTTAACCCTAAAGTATAGCTTATTTTCATAGAAATCCCTGTTTTTAACCCTAAAATATTGCTTATTTTCATAGATCTGTGTGAGCAGCCCAGAGAGCAAAGGGCTGCAATCACTGCTGGGGATGCAGCGAGTGCTGTTTGCACACCCAGTGCTCCCAGTGACACACAGCTGTCGTTTTGTAGCCCTGCGAATGGGAGCTGTTGGGTCAGGGCCTGGAGCGCTGATTGAACACCTGAGGTGAGGACCGAGCCAGCTGTGGGAGCGCAGGTGAAGGCGATGCAGATGTGTAACGAAGGGGCGGAGCCTGGCTGCACCTCTCCTGGACCCCATTTAAGGGCTGGCTGCTGCTGGGGAAGGATCTCTGCTGTGATTTGTGACTTCTGTTGTCATTGTTCCACATCAGAGCATCGTGTAAAGTGTGTTAAAGAGTTCCTGTTCTGGTCCTTGAATGCCCTTATGGGTATTTTGGGCTCTCAGACAGGAGGAGAGGAGCGACGTTCCTGGAGGACCTGGAGTGCAGAGGAAAGAAGGTGGAATTCCCAGCTGGACCAAAGCAGCGAAAAAGGTGCGTGCTTCCCCTGTGTAAGAACTTGTGTTTGATGCTCTGTTTGTTTCTCGTTTGGTTTAGTTGGGTTTAGTAAATTACTGCTCCTTCTCAGATCGCTGCCGTTGGTTTTTTTTCTTGTTAGACCCATCTGCTGTCTCCCTATTCTCTCTCCCTCCCCCAGAGTGCGTGGCCTGCCACGTGCCGTGTTTCATTAGTTGTGGGGCGGGAGCTGGCTGCGCTGTTAATATGTACGATTGCTTTTTTTTTTCTCTCTTCTGTCTCCTGGGTTTGTGCCCCTGTCACGGACTCCCATCTAGAGATGATTCTGTGATTCTCTTTCTGGAGGTCTTTCTCCTTGGAGTTTTCTTCTACAAGCCTAGGACCCGGGTGAGCATTGCATTTATTTTTGGTTGCCAATTACTTACTATTGCAGTAACCTTTCTAACTGCAACACCTGTGAAATGCTGTTCTGACCAAACCACGCTGCAAACTGCGCGCCCTGCAACTGGGCTTCGGTCACCCATCAGAGCGCCGCAGGGACGCCTCTGCAGGAAGCACTGCAGGCTGTTAAAGCCCGCCGCTGCTGCTATGGCAGAAGACCTTCTGATCAGAAGACCTGCAGATCCAAGGGACTTCATGGTCGGAGAGGAGGAGCTCCATACAACCCAGTTCAAAGTAGCCTTTTGGTTTTCAGATGCTGTCCCTCTCATCTCATCCAAAAAATAAGACATTTTCTCCCAGAAATACCAGTTTTCTTTCAAAAAATGTGGAATATTAGCTTTCAAGGAGGAAATGTCGTATTTTTGGGGTGAAAACTGGTATTTGTGGGAGGTAATATCCTATATTTGGGAGAAAAGTGTTATTTTAGGGGAGAAAACTTCATAATTCTCAGAGAATGTATCATATTTTGGGGAGGAAAGTGGAATTTCTGGGTGAAAGTGTCCTATCTGGGGGGAATTTCCCTTATGTCCTGGTAGAAAATGACACCCAGAGCCACCAATTTCCCTTCAGTTCCCCCCTGTGCTTCTCAGTGGGGTCACCCACTGTTACTGGGGTTCCATGGGGTCACATCATTGCGAATATGGGGGTCAGCCCACTTCCATTATGGGGGTCCCAAAGGTGCCATTATTGGGGTCCCAGGGGGGTTCTCCTCTTTCCATCACTGGGGTCCCGTCGCTGTCGCCCCACTGCTGCCGTTGGGTGAGAAAAGTCCCCAAAAAACGGGAATTTAAAGAAAAAAGCAGAACCCAAACCCACGCGTTTGGGGGATGAGGTCACGTGGTGACGTCATGGGGAAATCACGTGGGGTGGGGGGGGGGGCACAGATTTGAGGCAGATTTGGGGAGTTTGAGGCATAGGGGGTCGTATGGAGTCTCATGTAGGGGTAATAGGGGCTCCAAATCTGCCCCATGTAGGGGCAGTAGGGCAGAAATCTGCCCCGTGTTGGGGCAACAGGGGCTCGACCTTCCCCATATTGTGTCTATAGGGCTGAAACGATCTGCACCCCGCAGCGGGACTCCCCCCTCCCCGCCCTTTCCCGGGCATTCCCCGCTCCAAAGTCCCCTCCATCCCGGAATTCCCCCCCCCCCCCGCGGTCCCTCCGCCCTACTGGGGGCGAGGCTCAGCCTCTATAGGGCCGCAATGGAAATAGGGGCGGCCCCGGGGGCGGAGCGCGGAAGAGGGGAGCGGACCGTAGGGCGGCCGCGGGATTCTGACCCCATTGAGTGCCGGGATTCAGGAGGACAGGAGTGGGAACCGTCGGGGGGGTCCTGGGGGTCCTGAGTCCATCAGATCCCATCGCCTGGAGATCACCATTGCATCCTATTGGATAATTCTTGGAGATCCTAATTGGACCCTATAATCTGGAGATCCTGATCGGACCCCATTGGAGATCCGGATTGGATCCCATCACCTGGAGCTCCCAGTTGGACCCGATTGGGAGAGTTCTTGGGGATCCCAATTGGACCCCAAAGTTGTGGGGATCCCCATAGGATCCGTCCCCCTGCATTCCCATTGATCCCACAATGCGTCGCACTGCACTCCCACTGCTGCTGGGCTGCCTGAGTGTGCTTACAGGTGAGAAATGGGGTGGGGGGCAGTCAGAGGGGTATGGGGCAATGGGGTGGGGGGCAGCAGGTTTGGGATGGCAATGGGTGCAGTCAGAGGGCTATGTGGTCTATGGGGGTATAGAAGTGTGGGGGCACAGGGCTATGGGGTCACAGGGCTATATGGGGCACTGGGATATGGAGTCATAGGATCACAGGGATAAGTGGGGCATGGGGATGTGGGGGTATGGGGTCACGGGGACATGGGGTTATGGAGTCACAGGGCTACGTGGGGCACAGGGATGTGTGGAACACTGAGATAGATGGGGAAGAGGGACATGGGGGTGTGGGGTCGTAGGGATACGTGGGGCACAGAGATGTGGGGTTACAGAAATCTGGGGGTCCCTATGGACACACAATGGCTCACATGTGTGTGCGTGCCTCCCCCCTCCTCCACCCAACTCCGGAAGCCTTCGGGGAGGGCCCAGGGATTCTTTTCATTTCCTTTCAGTTACAAAATCCCTTTTTGGCACTCAGGAATTCCCCGGAATTCTTTATTTGTTTATTTAATTTTTATTATTGTTACTTTCTTTTCCTTTTCCCATCCGGAAATAGGGGGGGGGTGGAGGGGTCAGAATCCACCCCTCCCCTCTCCCCCTTGCTCGTGCCTGACAGCAGCTGTCAGCATCTGGAGGTCACTCAGCAGATGGTCACAGCTGTCACCCCCACTTTAATTAATTACTTTATTATTATTATTAATTTGGAAACGGGGGGTGTAGGGTGAAGTCAGAATCCATGCACCCTCCCCACCACCTCGTGCCCCATAGCAGCATGTTTCCCCCCCCCCACCACTACCACGTGTGCCCCTCATTTGTGTTACCTCCCCCACGTGTGACCCCCCCCGTGCTTTGGGGGTGGAGGAGGAAGTGGAAATCAGTTCCCACACAGCTCTGCTTCCTGAGAGGGGAACTACGGGGGGGTGAGGGGGGTGAAGTGGTGCTTCCCTATATGGAACAAATGGGGGGGGGGGGGGGGGGGGGAGTTCCCATGGCCCCATATGGGGGTCCTCCATACCCTGTATCCCCTGGAGGACAGATTTGAGGGTCCCCACATCCCCATATGGGGGGTTCTTGGGACCCATATGGGGGTTCTCCACCCCCTCCAACCATCTGCCGCCAAGTCCTCCCAACCCCCCCACCCCCACTGACCCCAACCTCATTCTCCCCCCATTCCAGGCCCCCAGTTCTCCTCCTGCTCCGTCTGGCTGCAGCCCCCGGTGCTGTTGGTTCCGTTCGGCGGCTCCCTCAACATCACCTGCAGCACTTCCTGCAGTGACCCCCAGGTGCAGGGCGGCGTGGAGACTTCATCGCGCCACAGTCGTCAGCCCCGCAACGCGACGGTGCTGGATGTGACACTGAGCGACGTCACCGAGTGGAACAGCAGCCTGAAGTGCTACTTCCGCTGCCATGGGGGCAGGGAGTGGGAGAAGGCAGAGCTCATCGCCTACCGTAAGGCTGCCGGGAGACGGCGTTGGCACCTCCTGTCACTGTTGTCACCTTCGGTCACCAATGTCACCATCATTATCACCATCACCAAGACCTTCTGTCACTTTCGTCACTGTTGCCATCACTGTCACCATTACGTGTCACCCTTCTGTCACCATTACTGTCACCTTTGGTCACCATCATTCTCCCTTTTGTCACCTCTTGTCAGCTTTTCTCACCACATGATCAACTTCAGTCCTCATCATTGTCACCTTTTCTCACCTTTTGTCACTTTTGTCCCCTTTTCCCCCCCCAGGCCCATTGGACCAGCCAGAGCTGTCACCAATTCCCCCCCTGAAGTCCAGCCGTGCTCACATCCTGTCCTGCCTTGTCCCCAACGTGTCCCCAGTCCGCAACCTGACGGTGTCCCTGTGCCGTGGTGGCCTCACTCTGCACACAGCCACTTTCTGGGGGCACTCCCAGAAGCAGCCGGAGGACGTGTTGGTGACACACGAGGTGACGGCACGGCGGGAGGACCACGGGCAGAGCATCACCTGCCGTGCAGAGCTCGACCTGCGGCCATACGGCCCGCTGTTCAACATCACCTCCACTGCACAGCTGGTGGACATCTATGGTGAGCTGCCAGCGTGGTCACATTCGTCACCGTTGTAACGCTGTTGTCCCCGTGGTCTGACTGTTGTCCCTCCCTCCACTCCCATTGTCACTGCTGTCTGACTGTTGCCCTCCCCCAGTTGTCCCCTTGGTCCACCTGCAGCCCTCCCCTCTGCCCCCCCACCCTCTGACTCTTCTCCTCCACTGCAGATTTCCCGGACCCCCCCACGCTTACCTCATCCCCCCCAGCCCTCCAAACAACAGGCGACGTCCACCTGGAAACTGGCGAGGAGCTCAACCTGACCTGCAGCGTCCAGAACGCCTTCCCTGCAGCCAACATCACCCTGCTGCTGGATGGGGAACCGCTGAAGCCATACAGCAAGGACAGTCAGAGTGCGGGGACTGGGGGGCTGCTGTGGAATCAGCCTGGAAAGCACAAATTGGTGTGCAGGGTGAGAGTGGGGCCTGAGGCACAGAGCACGGAGCTGGTGGTAAACATTTATGGTGAGCGTGGCACAATGGCAGCGGGTGGCACCATGGGGAAGGAGGGGTGCAGGGGGGGGCTGCAGGTGGAGCAAGGGGACAATGGAGGGGGGGTGACAACAGTCAGCAGTGACAGTGGGAATGGTGGGGGCGACAACAGTCAGACCATGGAGACAATAGGGTGACAAGGGGGGGGTGACAACAGGTGGAGACAACATGGGGATCAGAGGGACCTCAGCAGGCTGGGAAGGAGGGCATGGGTGGATCTAATGAGGGTCAGCACCGGAAAATGCAAAGGTTTGCACTTGGGCCAGAGGAATCTCAGGTGTGTACAGAGTGGTGGGGGGAGCAGCCCTGCAGAGAAGGACCTGGAGAGTGAAAAGCTGAACACGAAGCAGCAGTGTGTGATTACAGCTTGGAAAGCAAATGGAATCCTGGGCTGCATTAGCAGAAGGGTGGCAGTGGGACTGGGGGGATTATACCACTCTGCTGTCATAGAGGCCCCATCTGCAGAACTGCATCCAGGTCTGGGAATCTCAATGCAAGAAAGACAGGGAGCTGCTGGAGAGGGTCCAGAGGAGAGGCACCGAGACAGGGAGAAGAGCATTGAGGTGGGCAGAGGGCTGCAGCACCTCCTCTACAGAAACAGGCTGAGGGAGCTGGGCTTGTTCGGCCTGGAGAAAAGGCGGCTGCGGGACCTGTGGGACCTCATTGTAGCCTTCAGTACCTAAAGGGAGCCTACAAACAGGAGGGGAATCAACTCTTGGAAAGGGGAGATAACATCAGGACAAGGGGAAATGGCTTGAAGTTGAGGGAGGGAAGATTGAGGTTGGATCTGGGGGCTGCAGCCAGATGGAGCAGAAGGAGAACTGGAGGCCTGGAATGGGGGGAGTATGAGGTTGGGGATCAGCGGGGGGGGTATATAATCACAGAATAAACAAGAGAGTTAGCCAAAGCAGACTATGATAACAAAAGAGAGTAAATGGAAGGCTTACCCTTATCCTGGGCTCCCAAAACTCCAGCAGAGCTCATTCCCCAATGGCAGCCAGCTCTTAAATAGGTCTAGGAGGGGGGAGCCAGGCTTCCGGCAGCTCAGGTGAATTGCTCTCAGCTGTGCTCCTCTGGCTGCCTCAGTGCTCGCCTCAGGTGATCAATCAGAGGTTCCGGCCGTGACTCAGCAGTTCCCATACAGGGGTTGGGAGGACTTGGGGAAGTTTGTTCTTATGAGAGTGAAGAGGTGCTGGAACAGCTGCACTGAGAAGCTGTGGATGCGCCGTCCATCCCTGGAGGCGTTTGAGGCCGGGTTGGGGCAGCTGGGATGGTGTTCGATGGGAGGTTGGCGGCCCTGCATGCAGCTGGGGGGGTTGGAGCTCCATGATCCTTGGGGTCCGTCCAACCCAAGCATTCTGTGCCAGCATCCCATGGGCGTCACCTCTCTGATTGTCACCCACAGATTTCCCCACGCCGCAGCTCAGTGTCAGCACCGACATCCCCGTGGCGATGCAGAACGTGTCGGGACGCTGCGAGCTGCCTGGAGGGCACAGGGAGGGCATCGAGCTGCGGGTGACGGTCGGGCAAAGGGTGTTGGCGCCCTGGGGGCCATCGCCGCTGCTTTTCATGCTGCTGGTGACGGAGGAACACGACGGCTCCGAGCTGCACTGCGAGGCCAAAGTGGAGGGCAGGGCTCCAAAATGGAGCGACATCGTGAGGCTGAATGTCAGCGGTGGGTGGCCGGCGTTGGGGGTTGGCCACAGCCCTGGTGCAAAACCCCGTAACGGCAGTGCAGAAACCCCGCGATCACAGAGCAAAACCCCTTAGGCCTAGTGCTAAATCCCACAGCTCTCGTGCAAAACCCCTTAGTTGTAGTGCAAAATTCCTGCTGTGAATGCAAAACTCCTCAGCCCTGGTGCTAGATTGCATAGGTCTTGTGCAAAACCCCTTAGGCCTAGTGCTAAATCCCACAGCTCTGGTGCAAAATTCCTGCTATGAATGCAAAACCCCTCAGTCCCTGTGCAAACCCCACTGGTCCCAAGGCAAACCCTTTGGCCCAATTTTGAACCCCACTTTTCCCCCTAGCCCCACCCCACATGGACGACCAACTCTGCCCCCCAACCCACACCTGGACGGAGGGCCAGGAGGTGAATCAGTGGTGCCGTGCACGAGGAAAACCCGACCCAGTGGTGACGTGTCACAAGGATGGTACTATCATCCTCATGCGACAGCCGTGTGTCGTCAGCCGGAACCACAGCGGGACGTATTGGTGCAGCGCCAGCAACGCCTTGGGCACGATTGGACGGAGCGTCAGCGTGACAGTGGAGTGTGAGTGGAGGGGGGGGGGGGGGGGGTTGTAGATGTGGGGCGGTGACACAGATGGGACGGTGAGCACATGGAATGGTGACACACGGGGGGGTGGGGGATGGGGTGACAAATGTGGGATGGTGACACACATAGGGATGGGGGCATTGGGGGTGGAGGTGACACACGTGGGGCTGGGCACAGGGGGTTGGTGGTTGCACATGTGGGGCAGTGACGCATGTGGGGATGGGTGTATGGAGTGGAGGTTGACACACATGGGGTGCTGACACCGCTTTCTGCCCCAGACTGGGACATCAATGTGGGCCTTTTGGTGGCGCTGGCGGTGGTGGCGGCGGTGCTGGCTGCAGTTGGGGCTGCTCTGTACCGCCTGTATTACCGTAAGAAGAAGATCCGTCAGTACGAGCTGCAGAAGGAGCAGCAGCGCCTCTTGGCTTTGGGGGGCTTCTCGGATGGGGCTGCAGCCTCCTCAAATGGGTCAGCGCCAGTGACACAAGCGTAGCACCCATGGGTGCAGGGTGGGAACGTCCCATGGGACGCTCAGAGGGGTGAGCAGACTGACAGCAGTGTGATGGGGGTGGTGGTACCCAGTGGGGGACATCTATAGGGACAATATGGTGGTACCCCATGGGTGACACCTATAGGGACACAACCAGTGGTACCTGATGGGGGACATCTATAGGGACACACAGCTAGCGGTAGCCTGTGAGTGACATGGATGGGGACACAACCTCTGGCCCAGGGACACCACAGTGGTGTTACCCAGTGGGTGAGGACAGGTGTCACGCTGACTTCGTGCTGTCCCCCCAACACCTGGCTGGCCCAGGGTGGGGGGGCCACAGTGGGTTCTGGTGATGAAGGTGAGGATGATGAGGGTGCAGGGGGTGTGTGCCGATAAAAAGTGGGGGTGACAACTGTGGTGTCCCCCCCAGACTCTTCGCTTTGCTTCCACCGCCGGCCCCAGGTGCCATCGGGGCTGTACTGGGGTGGCAGGGGCTGCTGAGTGGCACCAAGTGGGGGGTGGGGGTAGGGGGAGGAGTTTGGGACCAGGCCGTGGCTCCACTTTCGTCCTTCTCAATAAAAATTTTATTTTTAATTTGCATTCCTTGCCTCCTTCCCCCCCTTCCCAATAACCTCCATAAAATGCAAAGCAAAGCAGTTAAAAAACGGCATTGGCCACAAATTGGGCTGAATCCAACACCAACCCATGGGGATGGAGCAATGACACCAGCATTGCTCCTTGGGGACATTTGGTGACATCCAGCACCATTCCTTGGAGACAGTTTGGTGACATCCAAGTCTGTTCCTTGAGGACGGTTTATGTGACATCCAACACTGTTCTTTGGGGACAATATGGTGACATTCAACACTGTTAATTGAGGACATCCAACAGCACAGTGACATCCAACGCTGTTTCTTGGGCACATCCAACACCATTTCTTGGGGACATACGACGACAACCAACACAGCTTCTTGCGGACAATATGATGACAGCCACCACCACCCCCACGGGCACAGCATGGCGACCCCCACCACCATCCCTCGGGCCAGGTGTCATCACACTGTCTCCACCTCCATGTGCTCTGGGGGTCCCGGGTGCCGAGGTTCCTCAGGTGGGGGTGAGAGGGATCCCAAACAGCTCCCGTTGTCCCCCACTGTCCCCCCGGTGCAGGCGGGAGGCCTCAGAGGAGCCCTCAGCATCACGCACGTTATACTCTCCCTTCTTGCAGGCGGTGGTCTTCATGTAATAAATGCCCCATGCGGCCACTGCCAGCACGGTGACAGAACCCAGCAGGGACAGGGACAGCAGCAGGGACAGCCGGCTCTCTGCGGGGACAGCGGAACGACGGTGTGGCACCGGTGGCTTCAACACCATGCCAACAACATTCCAGTGACACTTCAACTGTGGCACCTTCGTGGTGACGGCACACAGGGGAGACCGCAGCGGTGACATCGACACCCCACTGGTGACACCACCCCTCTGTCCCCCAGGGCTCACCATCCACGCTCACCACCACGCTGCCCACGCGCCGGCCGTGCCGGTTGACAGCCATGCAGGTGTAGCGGCCGCGATTGACGGCCGCCGCGTTCTCCACCTCCACCGACCGGTTGTCGGCCCCGAAGCGCAGGTTGGGGGCAGGGGGCAGCGCCCACCCAAAGGTGGGAGTCGGGACGCCCTCGGCGCCACACTCCACGCTGAAGCTGCTGCCGTGGCTCACGTTGGGGGACGGCAGCACGCGGAGGGTGAGGGCTGCAGGACTGTCTGTGCGGGAGGGAAAACCCAAAAGGGCCCCTTTGAGCCTCAAAACATCCCCTCGCTTTCCCTTCTTTTCCCTTCCAGCCTCAAGCCGTCCCCCAGAAATGGCGATCCGGGAACCCAAACCCATCGGTTTCCTTCTTTTCTGATCCTCCAAACCTCAAAGCCCCCATTTTTAAACCCCCCAAAACCCCGATTTTTACCCCCTAAATCACCAACACCTCATTTTTTACCCCCCAAAACCCCCAACCTCCAATTTTTACCCCCCTACCTCCTATTTTTATCCCTCTTATAACCCCATGTTTACCTTTCAATTCCTCCATTTCCCCCCCCAAAACCCCCAACTTCCCCATCTTTACCTCCAACCCCTCATTTTTTACCCCCAGAAACCCCCAAGTCCCCCATCTTTACCCCAACTCCTCATTTTACTCCCTCCCAAAACCCCCACCCCCAAATCACCCCTCCCAGGCCCTCCCCCCATCACCCCACTCACACTCCACAGTGATGGTGACGTTCTGCAGTGCTGTGCCATGCACGTTGGTGGCCTGGCATTGGTAGGTGCCGGCGTGGGCACGGGTGACATTGGCACTGCCAGGGGGGGCGTGGGGGTCCCCCAGTTTGGAGCAAGCTACACTGGGGGGGGGATTCCCACTGGCGTTGCATTCCAGCTCCGCCGCTGTGCCCTCCACCCACAGCCGCTGCGCCGGGCAGTCGGCATCGCCAATGCTGGGTTGGTCTGAGGGGAGGAAGGGGAACCATGATGGCACCGACAGCGGCACCGGCACGGTCACGGTGTTCCTGGGTGTTCATGGCATCCCTGGCTTGGTCATGGTAGGGTCACGACATTCCCAACTTGGTAGAGCCATGGCATCTCCACTTTGGCCACAGTGTGGATGTGGCACTCCTAATACGAACATGGTGACATCCTTGGCATGGGTATGGCAATCTGGGCACAAACGCAGCATCCCTGGCACGGTGACGGTGGCACTACTGGCACAGACACGGCATCCCTGACCCGGTCACAACGGCACCCCTGGCCCAGACACAACGGCACTCCCCGCACAAACTCAGCACCCCATTTCCCCACTCACACTCGACGGTGACGTCGACGCTGCGCCGCGCCGACCCGTGCCGGTTGGTGGCGGTGCAGACGTAACGCCCGGCATCGCCGCGGCTGACGGTGCGGCCATCCTCATCCCCCGGGGGTCCCCCATGGCGGGCGCAGTGCGTGGTGGGTGCGGGGTCCCCATCGGCGCTGCACGGCAGCTCCCGGCGCTGCCCTTCCAGCCACGTGCGGTGCGCCGGGCAGCCGAGCTCCGACAGCGAGGGCTCATCTGAGGGTAAGGGAGGTGAGGAGGGAAGCATGGGGTCATCGAATCGTGGTATCGGTGAGTTGTGAGATCAACAGAAGGTGGAATTGGAGACTCACGGGATCACCGAATCACTGAATCACAGGATCAGCAAATCGCGGGATCGCACAATCGCATAATTAATTAGAGACTCCCATAATCACATAATTACAGAACCACAATTTCCAGTTGGGACCTCAAGGTTCCCCCCAATTTTGCCCCCTGCCTATTTGGTACCCAAATCCCACCCAGCCAACTGTGGGATCCCCTCAGACTCCCCCCCCCCCACCTCAAGAGGAAGAATTTCACCCCACATCGGACCCAAATCTGCCCCTTTTAGCCCCAAGCCAATCCCCCTCACCCCACACTCCTACCTTCCCCAATAAAATATGTCCATATTTGGCATCACCCAGACCCACAACTAACCTGAGCCCCCCCAATGCCACCACCCCATTCATCCCTAATGCCCCCTGCAGTGCCCCCCACTCGCCCCACTCACACTCCACACGGACGGTGACAACGCGGCTCCGTGTCCCCACGCTGTTGGTGGCGTTGCAGTGGTAGATCCCGGCGTGGGACCGGGTGACCAGGATGGGTCCAGCAGTACTGGGGGGGTCACCGCGGTGGGTGCAGGTGACGATGGGTGTGGGGTTACCAGCGGCCCCACAGGAGAGAGTTTCCCTTGTGCCCTCCAACCATGTGAGGGATGTGGGGCAGGAGGTAGAGTCCATCTCAGGGGGGTCTGGGGAAGAAAATGTGATGGGAGGAGGGGGGCCGGGGGGATGGGATGGATGCAGGGTTGGATGGACACGGGAGGAGTGAGATGGGAGGAGTGGGGCGAGATGGAGATGGGATAGGATAGGATTGGGAGGGTGGGGTTGGGGTGGAAGGGGGGGGTGGAGGGTGAGGGGTTGGATGGAGACAGAGGTGAAAATGTATGTGGAATGGGACGGAGGCGAGGAACGGGAATTGGCATTGAGATGAGAATGAGGACAGAATAGGGATGGCGATGGGACAGGAAGGGGACCACCCCAAACATTCCCCCTCCTCCCCACTCTCTTCCCAACCGCATATGGGGCCAACAGGGACCACGGCAGGGACTTACAGAGCACCGTCAGCCTCCCCTCGGCTTCTTTGGTCACCACATCGTCCCCCAGGGCCAGGCGGGCGCTGCACCCAAACCAGCGCCCATCGTCCTCCCGCTGGGGCACCACGCGCAGCTCCAGCGCCGGCTGGGGACCCTCGGCCAGGACCCCGCCATCGGCATCACGCAGCTGCAGCCGCACCGAGGGGGGGTCGGCAGGCGCCGAGCGGCACCAAACCGACACCGGGAGACCCGCAGGCACCGGGCTCAGCTCCAGGGTGGGTGCTGGGAATCCTATGGGGTGAGAGGGGGGCTGTGGTGATCAGGGTGGGAGGGGTGGCTGTGGGATTTGGGGTTTTGGGGTGGAGCGCACATGGGGGTGGTGGTCTGGGGGTTGCAGGTGGGAGGGGGCAGTGGTGGGGTGCCCCATGGGATTGGGGGGTGGATTTTGGAAGCCTTAAGTCATGGAATCATTAAGGATGGGGAAGATCTCTATGGCCGTAAGTCCAACCATCTGATCCATTTCGGGTTGCATGCTGGGGTGGGATCTCAGGGTTGGGGTCTCGGGATTTGGATCTATGGGGCTGGGATCCACAAGATTCAGTTCTGTCCATACGGTAAACGTGGATCAGCGCCCGTGCTGTCTGTTCTGCTGCGCCCACAGCGGCGGTGCAGCTGAGCTCGCGGTGCCCCACGGTGCGGGCGTTGATCTGAGCCACGGCCGTCACCACCTCCGCTGTCGCCGTCACCTCCGTCTCCAAAGGGTCCCCATCCAGCGCCAGCACCACGCGGGTCTCCTCCACCGGGAAGGCGCCCAGCACGCGGCAGCTGCCGGCCGCTGCGGTGTTGGCTTCGAGGTGCGGAGGGGAGAACAGCTGGGGGGGATCTGGGAGGGCTGGGGCGGGGGGGAGGCATTGTGAGGGGGGCTGAGAGCCACAGGCGAGAGCATAGGGGGGTGGGGATGGAAATGGGGATGAAATTGGGAAGGAAATGGGATTGGATGGGAATGGGGATGACATGGTGATCTTGATGGGATTAGATTGGGATTGGAATTGGATCTTGTTTGAAATTGGGATAGAGATTGGAATTAAGATTGGAATAGGGACATGGATTGGGACTGGATTAGAGATCAGGATCCCGTGGTGCTGCCCTCACCGTACACCGATAGCCGGATGGGCGCCGCAGCGCGGGCGAAGAGCGGCCCATGCGGGCGCAGGGAGAGCTCGGTGTGGCAGCGCACCGGCTGGCCGTGGTCGCCAGGCCCGGCGGTCAGCGCGTGGCTGACAGTGACGGCGGCGCTGCCAGGGGCGGCGGGGAAGCTGTGGGTGCTGAGGGTCTCTGTGCCGCGACGCAGCGTCACCGTCAGGTTGGCCAGCGGGGCGCACTCGGCCACGTGGCACCGCAGGGTCACCGCGGCACCCACTGGCACCGCTGGCACCGCGTCCAAACGCACCCAGTCTGGCTGCTCTTATGAGGGCAGAGCAGAGCGGGGAGAGGGGGGCGTCGCAGATCTGCCTGCAGCCAATCCCAACCCTATATCCCATCCCAATCCCAACATACCATCCCAATCCTAACCCCAATCCCAACCCTATATCCCATCCTCCCCTCCCAATCCCAGCCCCATGAGAGTGCTGGCCCAACCACATCCCCATCCAAATCCCATTCCCAACCCTATATCCCATCCCAATCCCATCCCATCCCTATCCCCACCCCAATCCCAGTCCCATCCCCATCCCAATCCCCCCCACTCCAATTCCATCCTACCCCACTCCCAATCGCACCCAAAGCCAATCACACCCCAATCCCCATCCCTCCCCAGTCCCAATCCCCCCATCTCACTGTACACGATGATGGCAGTGCTGCTGTTGGCACTGCTGTCCCCGCACCGCGCTCGGCACAGCGCCGGCTCCGGCTCCCATTCGGTGACATTGGTGAGGACGAAGGTCCTCCAGCGGCGGCCGCCCGGCCCGGCGGTGCTGCCCAGCGCCCAGCTCAGCTCCAGTGGCACCGCAAGACCCGGGCAGAAACCGCGGCTGCAGTTGATGGGCACCGAACCGCCGAACGGAACCACGGCGACACGCGGCCACGAGCGGACCCAGAAAGTGGCTGAGGGGGCTGGCAGACCCCAAATAGGGCCTTCAGACCAATGGGAGACCACAGACCCAAATGGGATGCTGGGGTCAGGGTGAGACCCCAGACCCAAATGGGGCCTTTGGTCCAAAGTGGGACTCTGACCCCAAAGTAGGATCCCAGACCCAAACAGAGCCCCAGCAGCAAACCAGGACCCCAAATCCAGAGCAGCGTCCCGTGCCCCATCAGGTCAGGGTTGTGTCCACCCCCCTACATACTAACAAATATAGGGACCCCCCCCCAGATTGCCCCATCCCCATCCCCATTACCTGCGAGTGCCAGGAGGAGGGGGGGCAGCAGCTTTGCGGCCGCTTGGGGGGCAGCCATGGGGTCCCGTCAGTGCTGAGGGGGGGAGGAAGGGGATGAGGAGGGGATGAAGGTTATGGGGATAGGAGTGAGGATGAGGAGGGAAGGAAAGCTATGGGTAGGAATAGGGGACGAGGATGAGGAGGGGATGAAGCTTCGCATGGTAATAGGGATGAGGATGGGGGTGAGGATAAGGAGGGGAGGAAGGTTGGGGATGAACGTCATGGACAGGAATGGGGGGGAGGATGAGGAGGGGATGAAGGCAATGGGCAGGAATAGGGGCAAGGATGAGGAGCGGAGGAAGGTCAGGGACGGGGTGAGGATGAGGAGGGGAGGTTGAAGGCTCACACAGCAGCTCCCCCCTCCCCCTTCACACCCCCACGTGCAAACGCAGCGCTGTGATGTGTGGGTGTGCAAAGCGTGGGCTGCGTGCAACGCACGGGGACACAGCCACGCGTGGGGGGGTGAGTGTGCACGAGGGCGTGCAATGCGTGTGCACCTGGCTGTGCACTGCGTGTGTGTGGGCGTGCATTACACGTGGGTGTGAGCGCATCTTGCATGTGGGTGTGCATTGCACGTGGGCGCCCCCCCAACTCACCGCACCTGTACCGCCGTGCTGTGTATGCAAGGTGATGGTGACAAACTGAGCAGTGGTGACTGCAGTGATGGTGACAATCCCAGTGACGATGACAGTGGCGATGGTGGCAGCCCTGGTGATGGTGACAACTCTGGTGCCAGCAGTGATGGTGACCAACCTGGCAGCGGTGATGGCAGCAACGGTGACAATCCCAGTGATGGTGGCAGCGGTGACAGTGCTGGTGGCTGCTGGTGACACTGATGCTGACAGTGCCGGTGCTGACAGTGCTGGTACCACGCGGTGCCGGCGCTGCGCTGCCGCCGTCACTTCTCGGGGGGGTGGAGGGGTGGAGTGGGGGTGGAGGGGGCGGGATCACATGGGAAAGAACGCCCCGCCCTCACCCCATAGCGACCAATGGGAAACCTCAAATCCCACCCCCTCCGTAAGCCCGCCCCCTACTCCCATAGCATCCAATGGGGACCCCCGAACTCCGCCCCGCACCCCTGCCCCATAGCCACAAACAGGACCCCCAAATGCCACCCCATAACCCCACTCCTCAGGGGCGGGGGGTCCGTTACTGCCCCCATTGTCAGTCCTGGGGGGGTCCATTGCCCCCCATTATTAATCTGGGGGGGGAAGTCCATTCTCAGCCCCTTTCCTTAGGGGGGGCCCATCTGCTCCCCATTATCACTCCTGGGGGTGGGGGAGGCCCGTTCTCACTCCTGGGGGGGGTCCATATGAACATCCCCTCCCCGAGGGGGGTCTTCAGCCCCGCACTGGGGGCACCGCGCCGCAGGCGGGGGGAGGGCGCTCCTTCTCGGGACGCTCCAACAGCGGCGACAGCGTCGGCGGTACTTCCGGTACCTGGTGTGTGGGGGGGTAATTAAGAGCGATATTAATATTAATTAGGGTTTGTTTAATATTAAGTAGGGTGGTATTTTGTCTCCATTAGGATCATATATTGGGAGTGGGGGTAGATATGGGGGTGCCCCTCCCCCCTTCTGGTTTTATTTGGGTTTGGGGGGGGGAAGGGGGATAAGGCGGTGCCCCCTTTGGGTTTTATTTGGGGGAGGATTTATGGGGTGCCCCCCTCACCGGATCCCGCAGGCGTTGCACAGCGGGGTCCCATTCTCTGCCGCTCGCCATAATGGGGTCCGTTGGGTTTTGCAGGAGGCGCAGCTTCGCGGGGGGGGCCCCAAGGGGGGGGGCGGAACAAAGTAAGGGGGGGCACCGCTGGTTTATGCCCCCTCGCTTCCTCCCCCAGTTAAAGGACAACGTACCTGGAGCGGGGGGGGCACTGCGTTCGTCTTCGGAGCTGCTCCCCCCCCCCTTCCTCACCTTCGGGGGTCGGCGGTGCGCGGGGGGGCCGCGGGGGGGGCCGAAGCTGTGGAGAGAGGGGAGGATGTTGGGGGGGGAGGGGTGTTAGGGGGTGTCAAAGGGGGATATTTGGAGGGGGAGACATTGGGATTGGGGAGGGC